CAAGACCTGTACTCAACGAGGTGCACTTCTTGCGATTGTTCTGCAATCTAGCGAGTCCTTCGGAAAAACGTCACCGAGAGCAGAGCTAAGACACTATTCAGAAGCAAGTATTTTCTAGGTTTGAAATTCCCTTCGGTTCCATTTGACCGTGAGAAGAGTTTAGAATTCACGAAGAAAGCGTATTTTAGCCAAAGGCAGAAGATTCGTATTTGAACGGAGCGCAGCGAGATAAGGTAATATTCTTTCACGCGAAAATAATAAAAAAAATAGGGTTAATAGAAAACTTCCCATTTGTTTTTTCTCGCGCAAGTAACAAAAATGTTCCCTTCCCTGTCCCCATCCAATCGCACTTCAACCAGTCGGGGGAGATGAGTATAGAATTGTTAACAAATCATCAGAAGGCTTGGTTACCTAATTGAGCCTGGTGTCTAAGCTCCTTCAGAAAGTGATCCCAAAAAAAAATTTCTGCTGTCCGTTGTTCGTTTGTTAATAAATTACTAACTCTAGCCAATCAGGATTGGCAAAAAGGGTGACGTCACAGAACGCGACTCAGTAGTGTGGGATTCCCGGGGGAAGCCTTACGGCTGCAGAATGACGAAGCAAAGGCGAAGTGAAACCAAAGCTTAAAATTGACTTCTCTGATGCGATCTTGTTTGACTGAAGGTACGCTCCACTATATGTTATCTTACGTAAAAATTAACAGTGAAGAGTGGGCAACTTGGACGTGGTAAAACAAGAAATCTGATGAGCAGAAAAATAACTCGGCACGTACGTCTTAAAACTGTGTACATTTTTTGCCGAACTTAATGAAGTCGACCCAAATTGGTATCGGGTTTGACACATGTTGAGTTCGACGTTGGAACTGAGCCTTGCTGTCCTCTGCAAAGTAACGCAAAATCATCCAAATCATCCAAATTTCAAAATTTGCGTAACCCGACAGCAAATAAGTGTCCATTTAGTACTCCACGCCGCTCTCATACGTAGTGCTGAGGTGGACTTGCGGCGCCTTAAGAGATAGTAAGCACATCCAGTAATTCGCGAGATTCCGACTAAAAATCTTTATTCATTTTTTAAATCGACGTCTTCTTTAGTGTTGCAGTCCTAACTGCTAAAGGCCCCTCTTGTGCTTTGCAGAACGACGTTGACCATTAGCACCCGTAACGACAGTATCTTCCTAATCATTACAGCCTTTCTCGAGATCTAGCCACAAATATACAGCTTTCTCTTCATCTTCCTGCTTCCCACCGTAAAGCAAAAGCTGACACCAAGGTTCAAAGCGTTCGAAGTTCAGGATCGATCTATCCAACGAAGGTATGTATCTTGATAAGCAAACAGTGGCTTAATTAATCTTTCCTTTAAACTATCATTCTCTAGTCTCTTTTCCACTCGTAAGGAATTGATTAGTAGTGATGGTAGTTGAGGTAGAAGTAAATTGTAATATTGTTATTATTGCTTCATAATAACAATGTAACACGCTCTTCCACGCACACGAAAACAAATTCCATTTATATCTTATGGCATATTATGTACATAAGATGTATGTGCATAGTACATGTATCAGAACAGTTCGGTGCCATTTTAATCATTTTATATGAGTGTCTGCCTTTGTAAAGAGAGTTTCTTACACCATTGCTATTTGATTATACTTACAAAATAGGCATAATTCACTTTCTTTGCACGTTTAATTGGTTTGATACTGGCTTCACTTCACTTCTACTCACAAAACTTTCTAGGCGAGAGTAAACAATCAGACGTAGAATATTCTGACAGAAACTCTGTATAGTTTTCATTTCCTTTTATGCTTAAGGTTTTGTCGTCAGAAGTTTTTACATTTCTCTTCCCTAATCATTGTGTAGTCTTATTCTGTCGCTATCAAAAGATTCATGATTAAATTTTGAAAGATAATAGTCACTCTCTACGCGGATCGTTGTAATCTTGAGTAATCCTGTATTTGTTCAATATAAAATTACGGTTCATACTGAGAACTTAATTCATTTAAAAAAAACTCATTTCACCAACATTTCATCTAGGGAGAAACTTGTGAGGTGTTACCCGCACTAATAAACAATCTGTGGCTTTTCTTCTACTTACGGGAGCAAGATTTGCCATAAGCTGACACATGTTCAAGTTTGCAACATTAATAAAAAGTGCAATGCAGTAGTTTTGTTTCTTCTAAATGTTTCTAAGCCTTGTCAAACCTTCCCATTTTGATATTAAACGTAAAGCAAATAAAAGATAAGATTAGTATTCTATTTCTTTTCTATAAATGTTCGCCTGCAACGATTCTCTAGAGCAGTACTAGTTGAACTGACCTGCGAGGAGAAATATGAAGGGTTGTCGTAGATAAATAAAGCAAGGGGTTCAAGAAAAATATTGTTCATTCTCAGCTTTAACTTGAGATCTCACGGTTTCACAAAGGCAAGGTTTGCCATAAGCTAACAGTGTTCAAGTTTGGCCAATGCTCTCATAGAAAGGAAAAGTTTAACATCTTCTTGATGTTATTAAGCTTTGGGAAGCCTTCGCATTGGGAGACTAAACTTCTGGACAACATGCCAAAGATATGATCAGTATTCTATCCATTTCCTTTCTGTTAACGTTTAATTTCAACGAAACTCTACAGCCACAAACGTTCATGTAATCCTCACTAGTTGTGAACCTTCATATTCTTTCGGCACGATGTAAAGATTTAAGATTCACATTGATAGATGGAAGTACTCGAAGTCACTCTTCATCTGCCAATATGAACACCGTAGTATTGAGTTGTTCGGTATCATTTCCACATGAAATTTAAGGTAGATGTTGAGAACTGGCCTATATCTGAAATATCATTGAGTCTTCGTTCTAGATCGAAACCTGTCGGTTACATTGTGGAGAAATATTTTTCATAAACCGACATGTGTTCAACTTTGGTCAACGTTAAAATAGCAAGAAATAGTTTTATTTCTTTTAAATATTACCAAGCTTTTGCAAGCCTTCAGATTTGAGATTAAGCATGTGGAGAAAAGGTGACCTATATCCTTTCCTTTTAGCTCCCGACAGAACATTTAAACCAACAACGACTCAGCGCAAAAATCAATTAGATTCTTCAATAAATCCTTTTAATTCCTCCTGTTAAACTGAACACTAAGTCTCTTTGAAACACCTACTGCTTCGATTAGGTTAGTGATAAGGTGAGTTATACACTCCAATGCGAAGTTAGGTGCGTACAGCTTCGTGGATGGACATAAACTTGATTACCTGACTAAGAATTTGCTAACCTTGGAGTATCATAAGCCATATAATGCTGGTTTAAGTTATCCTATCGTCTTCCTATTCCACGTACCAATAATATGAAGCGAATGTCCGTTTGGTAATACTGTTAAACTGTGGAACCACGTTTATGATCAAGTCTGCTTTTCGACAGAGCATAGATAAAAACAAGTTACTGTGACTTTATCTTGTGAAAAATCACGCCTGGCAGCTTCGGAAGTGATAAAATATTTTAACTATTTGATTAATTTAACAGTTTAGTATTATGGTTACGTGATTGCAATTTAGTATTAACAAGGACCACTAGGAGGACTGTTTTCTTTGACTGTAGTTATGCACTCCATTCGAATGAAGTGTACACATACTTTTTGCTCCCCAGAAAAATAAAGTTAACTAGTTTGTTTACATGTCAAAACAAAAATAATGGTAAACAAAATAAGCTCAAATGAGAGGTTTTGTTTAATCAATGTGCACCTCGGATAAAAACGATCAAAGCAGGCAAAGATTAGTGCTAGAACCATTTAACTCATTATATAATAGAAAACTAACGGTAGAGATTTAGATTACAACAATGCCAATCAAAAACAACGCTTTCCCTTCACCTTCTAGAAAGGCATGCTTGATAAGTATCTTTTGTAGATTCCGCCTTGTAGACTCCATGAAGTCTCAGTTCAAAAAGTTTGCTTTGTACTTGATCACTCACGTAGGGAGCAATTAGAGAAGTCCTTTCGGACAGAAAGTTTTTTTTTGCATATATTAACTCTTTTTGCGCAACTCTTTATGTATTGGATCAAAGCTTAACTTTTATCCCTGGAGACTCAACTTGACTTCCAAGTGAGAAAGGTCAATAGATGGCTGGGTTAAATTTTAGGATGATTGATGTCCTTTGAAATGTCCTCCTATGGGAGTGATATGGAACAATGTCTATATTCTTTACTTGACGTTGAAGCGAAGTTATCTCTGGTCGACTTTCCTGAGCGCTTCCAATTGTTAACTAATATCTACAGTTTCTTGAGTTTGAAAGTAAGAATTATAAGCCCATTCCCACATGGGTAAATTTGTTTTTGTCAAAATTTGAGATGATCCAATTTGCTCTGTAATCGTACTCCTTATTATCAAAGCACGTCACGGTCATTCCATTCTTTTGAGTTGCTCATATAATTAATCCAAAACAGGACTCGTATCACCCCAGTCACCATCATTAATAACGCTACCCCGATTATTGCTATTCCATAGTCTTTACTTCGTTTACCATGGACCACACACATGACATGTTACATGCGTTTACCGTAAATGGAACATTTTCCACCCAATATTTGTGACTGGTTAAGAAATATTTCCAAGTCTTAATATAAGAAATAAAATTTCCTCGTGTGCTTGATGGCTTGATAATTATAGCCCCTGATGATTGTTTATTTTTATAATTTCATATCCCATGCGAGCTTTTGGAATAATTGTGAACACACCAATTTTGACCAAATTTTCTCTGGAGTATTGTTTACCATAGGAAATGAATAGATCAGCTGTTTGACCCTTTAATTGCCTGCTGGAAGGTTTCTTTGCCCCAACCTTCATCTCTCTTGCATAAGTCTTCGCGTTTCACCGATGTAGATTTTGCTGCATTCACAGGGAATCCTGTAAACCACGCTGTCTCCTCAATCCGGATTGACAGTGTCCTTTAGTCATAATAAATGCGATCTGATTGTCGTGCCGGACCTGAAGTCTGCGTGGACGCCTTGTTGTTTTAGGCAACGGCGAAGAGGCTCTGATACACCTTTTACATAGGGCAAAACCGCTGTGGACTTGAACTGCGTCACATGCTCTCTGCTTAGGGAGCAGTTTCTTGTTTTTGTGACCTTCTGTTCAAAGGAGGAGGGATAACCGTTGGAAACAAGAACTGATGACAAATGTTTCTTTTCCTCGGAGATGACTGATGATTTTGTCACGAGACGCTTCGCCCGGTCAAACAAACACCTAACATTACCGTGCTTTACTGATTCAAGATGGTCTGAATCATACGCTAAGTACTGATCAGTGTGAGTTGGTTCTCTGTTGACACTGGTGGTCAAGTGTCTGTCTGGTTTCCTCTTACCTGACGTGTCGAGAAAGGTGGTCTTGTTGTCTTTCTCAGTATTCATGGTGAATCGGATGGTAGGTTGCTGACTTTTGAGATGCTGTAGGAAACAATGGACATAACTGCGATCCAAGATTGCGAAGGTGTCATCAACGTAGCGCTTCCAGATCTTGGGTTTCTATGCTGTGGATTCTATCGCTTATTCTTCAAATACCTCCATGTAGAGGTTAGCAATAACCGCGGAAACCGGGCTCCCCATGGCTGTACCCTCTCACTGCTCGTAGATCGAACCGTTATACTGGAAGTATGTGGATCAAAATACGAAGTCTAAGAGGTCCACAATCTGAGCAGGTGTTAGCGTCGTGCGGTCTGCAAGGCTTGGGTCACACTCGAACTTTCGTCGTGCGGCTTCTACAACGCCCTCGATGGAGACTTAGCTGAACAGTGAGTTCACGTCGAAGGACACCATGATCTTGTGTTCTGAATCTTCTCCCTGCTGACGGTGGAAGAGAAGTGAGCTGAGTTGGTCACCGTGAAATCTGAATTTCCTCTTAGGGGAAATAGAATGTCAGCTAAGAAAGCAGACAAGTTATATGCAAAGGTGTTTACGCAAGACGCAATAGGCCTCGACTGTACGTTAGCCTTGTGGATCTTAGGTAAACCATAGATCCTGGGTGGTTATTTGCGTTGCGGTCTGATCTTGTCGTAAACAGCCTCTGATATGTGCCCGTTCCTCTTTAAGGAGAGCAGCTTCTCAGACAGTTTGCGGGTCAGACGGTCGGTCGGATATTTCTTAATGAGCGTGTATGGTCCGGTCCCGATCAGCGCTGACATCTTAGCATGATATGTGTCAGTATGGAGGCATACGCTAGCACGACCCTCATCCGAGGATCATGATCGAGTTGTCTTCTTTAAGGCTGTAAGGATATCATTAACGGCTTTTCTGACGTTGTCTGCTTGTTCCACATTGAGTGGTCTTACTGCTGATTCAACATTAGCGATGATCTCGGTAGCTAGGTTGCTCGCAGGAGTCACGGCAAAATTCAATCCTTTCTTTAACATGGACACCTCAGCACTGTTGAGACACGTATGCAGGACGCGTGTCATATGAACTTCGTAATAGACCTCGCTCACCGTTGAGTCTCTGTGGTTCAGTGGTAGAGCATCGGAGCGTAGAAAGGTCTGAGTGGAGGACTCAAAATTTTTCTTCGTCCCACGCTCGTGACAGGACGGAAAACCTTTCTCTATAGGTTGTTCTTGTTGGTGAAACAGAGACCAGTTTCTCGCACACAAGTATTTCCAACTTGCGTTATTGACGGTCTTTCGTGTTGTTTAAGACTCGCTGGGCGTTGGATCAGATTTTACCCAGTACCCCCGCGCATCGTCAGCTGAGAGAGCGCCTGTTATGTCCTGAGCGGTGGACTCGGCTTCCCCCTAAAAAAAGAGAACACGAGAGGGATATACGTTAAGCCCGTGTCCAGACCTCGGCCGTTTCTGAGCATGCCAAAAAGACCGGCCACCGCTCGTTTTGGAATGAAGTAAAGTTTAATGATAGAGACTCACATTGGTACACCCGAAGAGTCAAGGAAGCTACCCACATAAGACTTCAGCCTGATACCATCAACAGGCATAACGGAATAGAAATTCCTGAAGCGTGGATACCAACGACCAAGAAACACAAAGAGAGACTGGTACTACAGCAACCCGCCGAGGGAACAACTTGGAGTATGACCTCTCGGAAAACCAGTACTAACCGGAACAATGGGGATCGAAATCCGCCAATCGCATTAAATCGCCGTAATACAAATAGCAGCGCATGAGCAGTCGACCCCATCGCCTGATAGAGACCAGCAGTAAGCAGTCGAAACGTCGAGATCTACTTCTTAAGAGACTACATCGTGACGATCAAACGGTTTATTATTAATTCAAGGAAGGAATCTCTGAGAAGAGCAGCAATTAAAGACATTGTAGGAAAGATGCGTGAAAAAAAAAAAAAAAAAAAAAAAAAAAAAAAGTCTTCAACGAGATTGAACTGTATCTCCCAGATACTGGCATAGGCTACTACCAGTTGTGCTACAAAGCCATGTGTTAGGATTAAGCCAAATTTTACATGGTTCTTCTTTCTGGTAAAGGAGTCGGATTGTAATTAAAAGGAATAAATGATATTTTGACCCACCAGTGAGATATAGGGAAACATAACCCTCAAGGGTGAGCAACAATTTAAGAAACTACAGAATAGATCAGACATGTTGATCACTACTTTGATACCTACTGCAAAGTCAAGCCCACAAAGATCAACATGGAGAACAGAATGTTCAAGATCGACAGAAAAATAAGGTCAATAATGTCCTTAGCCAATGCCTTTTTAGGCAATACTTCACCAGAACTCTTTGTTTTTCACTGATCTTTCAGTAAATCAGTCAATAGTTGTTGTGCCAAAATGTTACTACCTACTAGCCAATAAGATTTAACAACTGACAACATGCAAACCAATCAAATTCAAGGAAAAATATTGGTGTGAACAGGTTGCCAAGCAATAGCTTACAAATGAAAATAAATTGAACATATTGGTCTGTTCAAAGACTTTGTGAAAAGTACACTTAGTTGTTGCTAAAGTTACAGTATAACAAGTTTAGCTATAGGCCAGATACTGTGTGATATTGTTTTTTTACTTGCAACATAAAAAATCCATCAGTAAGTTTCTTGCATTATGGTATCAGCCACAATACTTTTACAGGAATAATTGGATTTGTGATTTATATTAACTGAACACTTACCATGAGTCCAATTTGAAGTTATGAGCAATTTAATGATCACTCAAGCTTTGCTTGTTAGAATATCAACTTAAATCGGTGAAACTCAAATCATATTAACTCTACTCGAAAACTTGTGTTACATGTAATCCAACTCGTGTTTCCCATGGGAGTGAGGCGGTTTCAACAAGCACAGTTTGTAATATAAAACTGTTCTCATGAGGACTTAAACTGCTGTTTAAAAAGTAAAATAAAAAATCCAAGCTTTTGCCGATCAACGGCATCATCAGGGATGAGAAAATATTCGTGTGCGCTATATATATATATATATATATATATAAAAAGAAAGTGAAGGTTGAAATGTCTAAAAGATGTGACTTACGTATGAAAGCTATAGAAATAAACTGTGAATGGAACACAAGGCTCTAATGATGGACTGTCTCCAGACAAAGGACCTCTAAAAGCACTACAGAATGGTCTATAAAATAAAATACTAAAATATAAGGTATGCGAATTCACTATATTCTTCCCAGGAATTGAGTGTAAGCTTCCACTGTCTAATGTTAAATACTTCACAAAGGCGTACATTAGCGGGGTCGTTTTCACTCATAATAATCTTGACGTCAATGCCTTTATATTCTTTGTTCTGGCAGGAATAGATATGTTTTTTCATGGACGAGTTTTCATTACTGAGATGTTCTTTTACAACATAAACAGAATATTAAGCACAGTTAATGTTGGATTGTAGAAACAAATAGTTACATAAATAACAGACTGCAAGAAAACTTACTTGATGAATAATTTATGGTGGTGCAAAGTTTTTAAACCATAACATAGGTTTGTAAATCAATCTATTTTAATGCTAATAATATACATGGAAAAATTACTCAGTTCTGATTGTTTAAGATAAATGCAGTTTTCAGGTAATTCAGTGCAGAAGAGCGTTAATTCAGTGCAAAGAAAGAAACAAATCAGACATTCTGATTGGTCAATAATCAAAGAAACTCACAGAGAGCCAATCAAATACGAGCCTTGGATGTCGCAACAAAATTTGAACATTTGAAAATTTGCGAGCGAAACAATGGCCGGCGTTTTAAGTAGGTTTCCTTTCGCCACCGCAGCTGAAAAACAGCTTAAACAACGAAAACACTGTAAAAAGCACTGCTTTTTGGATGTCGGTTTGAAAAAAAGTGGTGTTTAGAGAAGGGAATTGCCGAGGAAATCGAAAATTACGAACCGACCCAGCTTAACACTTTGCTCGAAAAAAAAAAACAAACATGGTTTAACCTCGGAGAAGACGATTCCATTTCATCGAAAGTGATTCGGACACAGACTTAACAATTCCTTGAACTGTTTAGCCGGACTTTGAACTTTTTCAACCTTAAAGATGTGAAGATATCGTTGCATATTATTGTTTTGATCGTACGCGGTTGTTTTGACCGAACGCACGGTTTGAATAAATTATTTTACAATACAATACAATACAATATTTATTTGCCATATACGACATTTACACATGGAAAAAAAAAATGAAGAAAATTGATGACAGAAAATAAATGGCGAGAAAACCTGAAAGAAACCACGAGGCTTATAACAAGTCAGGCTTTCTCACTTAAAATAACTAATCTTATATTAGAATTACAATATGGACTTATGGTAATTAACTTTGACCGCGCACACGTACACACACACACACACACACACGCACACACATATTAACTAAGTTAGTTAAGAATTACTGCCTTACAGAAGCTAATACTTAGAGAGAAGAAATTCCTTAAGCTTTCTTTTTAAAAGAAGCGGAGGAGGGAGAACTAGTTATGTCAGAATTTAACGAATTATAAAAGTTTGGACCTTGAAAGTAAATTGAAAACTTCCTGGTGTTCGTTCTGCACAGTGGCAAACGGAAGGACTGAGCATTCCTAGTATTATAATTGTGGATTTGATTATTCAGTAAAAAAAAGTTATTGAATTTGGAAGGGAGTGTAGAGTTCTTGAATGAAAACATAAAAGTACCTAATTGAAACGAATGGATATCATGAAATTTTAAGAGTTTAAGTTCCTTTAAAATAGGGCCAGTATGGGCAATGTATGTAGAATTGCTTACTATTCTTAACGCACGTTTCTGTAAGGTTACAATTCTTTGAAGGTTTGACTTATAGGTACCAGCCCAAGCTAAATTGCAATAATACAAATATGGAAGGATCATAGAATTGTATAAAGTACGAAGGGAGTGAGTAGAGAGAAAAAACCTAGATTTATGAATAATACCTATAGATTTGGATAATTTATTTGCTGTTAAGGATATATGCGATTTCCAGGTCAAATTGTCAAATTTGTCAAAGGTCAAATTTTTTGCACTTGATGCGCGCGCTTTGCTTATGTTTAATTATGATAAGCCATCTCGCATTTTTCCATGTATATTATTAACACGTAATCACATGATTTTTCTCGTGCAATTTGGAATAAACAAGCACTTGTCAATTTTTTCAAAGACCACAAATTG